GAAGCTCGCGCGTTCTGGGCCAATTTGTCCAGCATCATCCAACGCAAAGGAGCCGGGCTGCCCATCTTCTTCTGTGGGGATGCCAATGCACATGTTGGAGAGGTTGTGACTGAAGCCATCGGTCCACACCATCCTTCCAAAGAGAACCAAGCAGGATTCCTGTTCCACAATTGGCTCATTCGACATCGACTTTTCCTCCCAGCGACATTCCCTGCTATGCAAAAAAGTAGGAACAACGATACCTTTGTTGCCCCTGACGGCATTGCAGCAGTCCGCATTGACTATGTTGCAATACCACAACATTTGGCTTATGATCTTGTTGAGGCCGAAGTGACTGATGACATTGACATTGGCAACGTCAGGATTGATCATCAGGCTGCTCTATGCCGACTCACACTGCGAGTTGAGATGTCTGGAGCGCGCCAAGTGAAACCTCGGGCCTACAGACCTGATGTGCAAGATCTGCGCAACAACCTCCAGCACGACTGCTTCTTCTCCCAGTTGCACTGGGCAGTGGAAACGCCACCATGGAACCTCAACCCGCATGACAGCGCGTTGCACATTGCAAGATCCTCACAGAGAGCATTACCCTTGTTGGCGCAGCCGCAGTCTCGCTGGAGAAGAAAGACGCACATCACCACGGAAACCTGGGAATTGGTCGAGAGCAAGAAAATTTTGTTCAAGCAACTTCGAGCCCTTAAACGAGTTGAGCTCTTTACGGTGCTGCAAGCTTGCTTTTTGGGATGGAAGCAGTCCAGATGGATGACTGGCTCTTTCCCTCACATCTTGCGTGACCTGCCAGTTTGGCTTGTGTTGCATGACCAGTCCACTGCGCGCACCCAGCGAGACTATCAGAAAGCAGCCCTCCTTGCACAACAAGCTATCAGAGCTGAGGACGCTCAGTACTACCAAGCAATTGCAGACAGAGCTGCCCACACACAACAAGTTGAAGGTCTCCAAGGTCTTTGGAAGCAGCTCAAAGCAGTTCAACCAAAACACAGAGTTCAACGCCAACATCAACGTCGAGACATTGATGAGGAGCTCCTTCGACACTTTGAGACCCTTGAAGCAGGAAGCACACAGTCCAAAGCAGCCCTCATTGAAGCATGCATGAAGCGCAATGCACAAGAGCAACAGATGCTTGATGGCTCTATCCAGTTGCAACTGAATGAACTGCCCACCCTATGCGAGCTGGAGCACCACTGCCTGAGCCAAAACCCTCGAAAGGCACCGGGTCCAGATGGAATTCCATCTGATCTATGCCGCTATGGAGCAGCGGCCTTCGCTCCGCAACTTCACTCGGTCCTCTGCAAGGCCTTCTTGCATGGAGTTGAACCTGCGGCCTACAAAGGTGGCAACCTATGCGCCATCTTCAAAGGCAAAGGCAGTGAGGAAGAGGCAGGAGGATATCGTGGAATCATCCTTGCAGATTCGTTTGCCAAGGTTGCCCACGCATGGACGCGCAGTCGATTGCTTCCAACGCTCCAGCAGCGTAGAACCATTGGGCAATTGGGAGGCTTGCCCTCCCAGCAGACAATTACGGCAGCCCAGTTGGTGAGGCTTCACAGTCAAATTGGACAGAGCAAGTCGCTTTCAACTGCCACTCTGTTCCTTGACTTGAGATCAGCGTTCCACCATATGCTGAGAGAGCTCATTTTTGGCACTTGCAATAATCTGCTGAAGAGCACTCTATCTCAATTCTTGGATGAGGACGAATTTGACATTGAGCAATTGCACCAAAATCTGGATGAACTTTGTCATCGTCAGGTTGATGACATACCTGTGGGTCTGCGCAGGTTCCTTCATGATATCCATCAGCATACCTGGTTTTGTCTTCATGGCAGCACCCAATCAGAGCGGGGTCTATGCACAGCCACGCAGCGAGGGACTCGTCCAGGAAGTCCACTTGCGGACATTGGCTTCAATTTGATGCTGACTGACATGATGAAGGAGCTTCATGAGGCCTTATTGGAATCAGAAGATTTCCGCCAGGGTGCTGAAGCAATTGGAACTTTTGTCCCGCCAGTGGCATGGATGGACGACATTGCAGTTTCCCTGGCTACGACCACGCCGCAGCAATTGGTGCCATTAATTCAAATTACCATTGCAGCTGTCCACAAAGCCTTTCGAGCTCGAGGACTCACTATGAATTTGGACAAGGGCAAAACGGAGGTTGTCGTCATGTTCAGGGGTGCTGGTGCTGTACGATGTCGAACTGCCTTGTTTGACCGCCATTCACAACCCAGCATCACAGCCGTCACTGAGTCCCACATTATTACTGTGAGGGTGACCTCCACATACCGCCATTTGGGCATCAAGTTTGCCATGAATATGGATATCGAGTCTGAAATTGCTGCCCGTGCTGGAGCTGCGAGACAAGCCTTTGTACAATTGCAGAAAGCTGTCTTTACCAACCCAGCCTTGCCTGAGTCGACCAGACTATCGCTTTATCAAAGCTTGGTGCTGACACGACTCCTTTATGGCTGCGCTATCTGGAGCGAGATTTCAGCGACATCCTTTCGCATGCTGGAAGCTCTCACCATTGATCACTACCGACGTATTTGTGGGGTTGGCTTTTGGACAGATGCGAATGTCTCTGACAAGGACTTTCTTCAGCAACGAGGGCTCCCTCCTTTCCGCATCTTGCTTGCGAAGCATCGACTGGGTTTCCTTCAGCATGTGGCCTGCCATGGTATCACAGCACACAAGACTTTGCTTTTGGCTGAATTTGCCACCATGAAGGGATGGCTGTTTGAAGTTGCGCAGGATCTGGAATGGCTAGGCAGCTTTTGTGCCCTACCCTTTGCTCCACCTACATCCAGGGCTCAGTGGATTGAGGCATGGACCCAGCTCAGATCTTGCAAGCGTTGGAGGACTCAGGTCAAGCGTGCTGTTGAGAAGCACTTGAAGCAGGAGAACATCGCGTATGAAGTACGCACTTACCACAAACATGTGGTGCAGGAGTTGAAGCGTTTTGATGTCCAACTGGATTTTGGTGAGGGCGAGGATTGTCCTCCTCCACAAGCCTTCAGATGTTCTGAGTGCCTGACAAGTTTTGCTTCCAGCCAGCAACTTGCGCTTCATGAGTTCAAGATCCATGGCAAGCGAGCGCAAGAGTGGCAGTATGTTCAGTCAGAAGTATGCCCGGGATGTTTGAAGACTTTTCATACATCCTTTCGGGTCTGTCAGCATCTTCGTTATCGAAACAACCGCTGTTGGGAACGTGTTCATGGTGCCCGTCAGCCTGCTGACCCAGTGAGCATTCAGCTTCCTGACCATCTTCGAGGAGTGCACCGACTCCCAGCAGTTCGTAAACATCATGGACCCCTTCGACCCACAGCTCACCACAGGGAAAGGGCGAGAGTGAGGCAAGCCATTGCACAGCTTTGTCTTGAAGGAGAAGAAGACTATGCTTGGTGGGACCCCGCACAGGAGCCGTCTTTCCTTGAGAAGTGTTTTTGCAAATTCCGAGCCACACTTCAGAACTGGACATGCAGTCCTCAGCCGACTGAAGCGGACTTTCACAACATGTTCCTCAACCAGTTCATTGATGATGAGGCACCGGATTTCAAGGTTGCACGAGCATTTATTTCCTGGATTGAGACAGAATTCTATGACCTGTGTGAGGCCATTGATAGTTTTGACCTTTGTGAAGTTTTGGAACAAGCGCACATGTCTCTGCTCTCAGATATCCATATTTGGAATCTTCGGACGAGGATGACTCATCTGCAGTCTCAATGGAGAAGATTGGAGCTTGGCGAGCCCCAACCTAATCGCTTGGCAATTGGTGCCTCTACGCCACGCAGGGCAAGAGCTCATCCGATCCTTTCTGACTATTGCAACATGGCCATGGAGGAGCAGGTGCGGAAACGATGGAGGATTCTATGTCGTCCACAACGTGTTCCGACCCCTGCGCAGGGTCCGTATTACGTGATCCACCTCTACGCTGGTCGCAGACGTCCTCGAGATTTTCATTTCCACATGACCGAGCTGATTGGCTCCAGCTCGGAGGCTTGGGCGAATAACATCAGTGTTATCTCCATCGACACTGCAATCAGTGAAGACATGAACGTACATGGCGAGCAGCTTTGGGGTTTTCTTTTGACTGCAGCAAGGGCCGGTAGGATACTTGCGATCCTACTTGGCCCGCCTTGTGAGACTTGGTCGAATGCGAGGTTTGCCCAGCTCTTTGACAGTGAAGGAAGTGAAATCAAAGGGCCTCGACCCTTGAGGAGCGGAAGTGATTGCTGGGGCATTGAGGGGTTGTCCTTTGCAGAGTTGGCACAGATTGATGTAGGCAACACATTGCTACTTCGTGGACTGTGGCTATGTTTGCCAGTGGCCATGACGAATGGTGCTGTGCTGCTGGAACACCCTGCGCCACCGTATCAGCAAGACCGCCCAGCCATTTGGAGGACGAGCTTGGTCCTTCTTTACCTGAGAGAAGGATGGCTTTTTCGACGCCATACCTTCAAGCAAGGTGCTTTTGGCGCTCCTGGCATCAAGCCAACGTCGCTCCTTTACGCCAACAACCCGATTGGCAGTGTTCTGGACGAGTTCGCCCAACCATTTGATCCTGACCAACTGGATCCTTTAGTAGGCAGGGATGCGTCTGGCAAATTTCGAACCTCCAAGGCAAAGGAATATCCTGATTTACTTTGCCAGTGCTTTGCAACTGCCTTTTGGCGCCACATCTGTTCGCTGCAGCTTTGCTCACAGCCTGCGCGTCCAGAACCTGTGGCCGCTAAATTGGCGGACATCTCCCGTAGAGTGGATCTCACGAAGGAGATGCTGCCGGACTATCAACCGAAGTGTTGATTGATTTCGAATTCAGAGAGACCGCCGCGAGACATCTCAAAGGGCCGACCAAAAATATACTATATAAACATATTATATTTTTTTTTGATGTCATTATATCTCTACTATATATCGAACAACACTAGGATAAGATTCAGCGTCTGGGATATCTGCCACCAGTGAATTCCTATGGTCCCTGCCGCCTGATGGTCTCTGGGGAAACACCACCTGGCCGGTCAAAGGCTGGAAGATTGGCGGATTTTGAGCAACCAAAAAGGAAAAAAACATCCTCCATAGAGATTCACGACCTTTCCAATTATTAAAAAAAATTAAACATCTTCCATAAAACCAATGAACTACCGTAGAACTACCGTAGAACTACCGTAGAACTACCATAAAATATGGGCGATTTCTACCTTTCCAAAAATTCGAACAGATCGACATCTGGGACATTTTCGGAAACGTCCGTGACATCCTGGACACGCACGTGTGGTCTGTGGCTTTTGGGGCTACTGTGGTCTTATTTCATGTTCCACATATGCAAAATATGTCTATTTATGTATGTATTTGTTACTCAAATGGATAAAAATTAGGTGATTTTCTACAGTTATGTGTTAGTTTACCAGAGGGTATCACAACTTGTCTTGGAATTGGAGGGCCGAATGGGTACAATTCTCGGCTTTCGGGCATTTGCTGTAGCCAGCTTAGCCGCGAACCACAGCTGAGTTTATCTAAAGAGTCGGGTATTCATTCTAAGTCAGCTTTTCACCATAGAGTGTCTGGATTCTCAGGTTATGTGCAATATCTATATCTATATATATAGTTGAACAATGTTACACATGTCTCAGATGTCGCTTTATTTTGGAGCCCTTTAATGGTCTGGGTATATCTAACGACTCGCTTTGATAACAACACGAAACCCTAAAAATCCCCATGAATCCTAATATTTCAAGTTGACCATCATGTCATGTCAACCTTCCCCACTATGGTTGCTTACAATCCATTCTTGTTTGTGCCAAGCTATACAGCTGCATTTGATGACTGAATTGTCAAATTTCCAAATTTGAAACAACACACATCAACTAAAACTAACTAAACAAACGCCATGTCCAACAAAAAAACGCCCCGCATGTGTAAACAAAAAACCTTCATCAAAAATAAAAAATAGATCAAACAATTCCATTTCAAGATCAGCAACAATCTGACAAGATCTGGATGTGTTCTAAGTCATGGGGGTACCCCCCAAATCATCCAGTCGTCATGGATGACCATGATTTTCAACATGTTTCAGCCCATGGTGACCTGGGGATCCCCTATGACTTAAGAAATCCCCACTATTAACCTTTGTTCATAGCTAGTAACCACTATTAACCATCATTTAACCATCATTTAACCATCATTTAACCATCATTTAACAATCATCTGACCATCATTTGACCATCATTTAACCATCATTTAACCATCATTTAACCATCATTTAACCATCATTTAACCATCATTTAACCATCATTTAACCATCATTTAACCATCATTTAACCATCATTTAACCATCATTTAACCATCATTTAACCATCATTTAACCATCATTTAACCATCATTTAACCATCATTTAACCATCATTTAACCATCATTTAACCATCATACCATCATTTTAACCATCATTTTAACCATCATTTAACCATCATTTAACCATCATTTTAACCATCATTTAACCATCATTTAACCATCATTTAACCATCATTTAACCATCATTTTAACCATCATTTAACCATCATTTAACCATCATTTAACCATCATTTAACCATCATTTAACCATCATTTAACCATCATTTTAACCATCATTTAACCATCATTTAACCATCATTTAACCATCATTTAACCATCATTTAACCATCATTTAACCATCATTTTAACCATCATTTTAACCATCATTTAAGAACCCCCCCGACACCGACAAGATCGACAGGATCTTTCACCTCCTTCGGCAGATCTTCACAGAGCACTTCCGCTGGAAGGCACAATTCAAAGCCCAACGCCTGGCGTGTTTCGTCCCAGCAGCATTCGTCAGCCAAAAAGGGCCCAGCATCCAACGTTCATCGCGTGGCAGGATCAAAATGATCTGGTTGGTGGTTGACCTACCCCTCCGAAAAATATGAAAGTCAAATGGGATTATGAAATTCCCAATATATGGAAAAATAGAATTCATGTTTCAAACCACCATCAAATTGATGCTTTGCATCTACGATTTGGGTCCATCTGATTTCATGGTTGTGGTTTAGAGACCTTTATAAAAATTGCTAGGGCTCAAACTGATAAATTTATCACATCTATCTCGGTCGTCCACTGGCCAGCTGAGAACTCGATCATCAAACGTTGCTGGAAAATCCCCGTGGCCTAAATGGAGGTTTATGGCTGGGGAAAAAAACTTGGAAACTCTGGGGACATCCTCTATACATTTGTCGTTCGTAGCTGGAAAAAAAATGTCTAATTATAAATGGTGGATTTTCCAGCAAGCCATGTTTGACGACACCGGAGGGTACCCAGAACACGACCATGGCGCAGCCGAAGCGTCCAGTGAATCACTGGAATAGTGCTGAATTTTGGCGAGGGAGCATTCATTACATATCCGGGCTTGTCTGAAAATGCTGTACCCCCCCGAGAGTACGGTATACCCAATTATGAGACACACTAAAATATCAAATTGTATATGTGTATGTATATATATATATATTATATATATATACATATATACATATGTATATATATATATACATATACATATATATATATATACATACATATATATATATATATATCCCGTCCAAAATCCCCACTATGGTTCCTTCTAAATTCAATCTTGATCCGGAGGTTTTTCTTTTTTGCTCTTTTTTGTCCGCCTTCGGAGGCGCGATACGAAGGGACTTCTGATTCCGACCAATGCGGCACCATCCATCACCTGGTGGTGGCCGTCCGGCCGTAGGGGCCGTAGGCCGGAAACCACGGCTGGATGGGTCCGGACGGCTGTACCTTTCATTTGTTCTGATGAAACTTGATGAAACTATATATAATGCATATATTATATGTATGTATATATATATATACACATGTATATATATATATTATATGTATTACAATATATTTATTCACTATACAGATTTTGAGAGGGCTGAGACAAGACAGGCCTGAAACATGTTCACAACTGGAGCTGCATGTGACAAGGTCAAACTTTCCGACTGTTTGGAACATCTCCAAAACTGACATATGTATATATATATATATATAATACACACTATCAACACATTCTGGGAGGATCAATATTCAAACACTCTGATAAGTTACACGTAGATATTATCTGTGTAATCTGAATAGTGCGGCCATGGCTGGGGATGATTCCAGGTTCGGTCACGACGTGAGGTCACTATAATTTACCCAGATATCCCATTATATCCCATTGTATATATATATACATATACATACATATATATATATATATACATATGTATACATATATACATATATATATATACATATATATATATACATATACATATATATATATACATATGTATACATATATATATATATGACTTTGTCAGGTTATATCCCACTACCCACCAGATAATCTCGACCCCTTTTCTGACGACAAACCCTTCCTCGCCAAGCCGCTATCAGTTGACATGTCCCAGTGTTCCGCCTGGGCTGACGTCATGGTGACCGATTGAAACCGGTGACTGGGACCATGATGAAAGGAACCCCCCAGGCCTGTCATGTTCCAGTTCCAATCATCTTACAAATTTATATGGATATATAGTTCATGTTTTTTCTCGGAGAAGCTCCCAGAGTCGTATATGCACGCCCATCCACATTCATAAACATCGAGCGTGCATGGAGCTGTACGTTTGTGCATGTAAGATTACGCAAGTAGATTCTACACATATGGATACGTATGGGTTAGTCTGAAAAAACAGGGGATCAACTCGCAATTGGCCATTTCAAGTACAATTTTAACCATCATGGATAGTATCATTATCACATATAACTTATCCACAACTATTCAAAATTGGTTATCCCAGTGACCATCAAAATGGCTGATTAACCCCATACATGGCCATCAAACTTAATACGGAAACTGATGATTAAAATTGATTACCCATGAAATATCATGAAATGTTGGGGGGCTTAAAATTGTCAGATGCTTTTCCCCTTAAATTTCATATGGTTTTGGATTGATCAACTTTAAGCCAAGCCTTTGCCGAACTTGCCGATGCTTTGGCCTAGCCATGGCATGGGCGGCGTCTCGAGAAGCCATGGCACTTCCAGCTGAGCTTCGACATTTGTCAGCTGGGATGTTATCCACAATTGAAGATGTTTTTCTATGTTAACATCTGGATGGAAAAAAACTGGGATGTTATTAGAATCATTTCCAGATGTTTTTTTCTATCCCATATATCCACAGCCACAACCGCCACAACCGCCACAACCGCCACAACCGCCACAACCCATGACACACGGCACACCTTCACATCCGAGTTGAGTCGTCTCGTCAACATGGACACGTATGCTGCGCGCCGGAACAGGCCACAAGCGCCTCGGGCAGGTCCACCATGGGGTCAACAGGTTGTAATCAACTTGCTTTGACCAATATCTTCAACATTCAACTATAATAACTATAAATGCCACAAATGCGGCTGCTTCCAATTTCCTTCCTTTTCCTTTACATGCTTTACGATGTTCCTTTAAATGTGTCCGGTTCAACTAAATGTACTTCAATTATCTTCCTGTCGGCAACTGGCATGGGCAAAAAAAAAAGGCAACGAAATGGAATGCTTCGGCAGGAACACCAAGGTGAGGTCATCATCTCACCATGATTTCCCAATTATCCCACTTAAGTCATTAATATCACTTTACCTATCATCATCATTAATATCATCCCATTATCAGTCATATATAATATGTAAGCCTATATTGACATCCCATGACATCATATATATATATACACACACACTGTTACACATTGTATTATACTGTATCAATACTGTATCATATTCTATCTACAGTATATCTATCCCCTATATGATATATGTCCCGATGAAGCTTCTTTCTTACACAGCTTGACATCCCCATGACATCCGACAGCCTGGATTGAAGACAATTCCACTGCTCGTCACTTGGAAGGTCGCTGCGACCTGCAGGTATCGGTCCAGGTAACACAGCCGGCTTGGAGAAACGTTGGATAAATAAACAATGGATACATAAAGGTAATTAAAGGATATTAAAGGTACATAACTTGGATAAATATTGGAATATTGGATAAATACTGGTATTTGAGGAACAAGGTTAATACTTATTTTTATTTTTCGAGTGAGAGTATTCAGTAGTATCCTCTTAGATCAACTCAGTACAACGGTCATCAAGTTGCCTTTCCAATCAACAACATACCTCCAAACAAAATTCCACCCAGCCCTATGGCACCTGCCGTGGACCGGCATCAAAGAAACTGCTGCTGTGACTGAAGAGTCGCACGTTGTCACCGGAATTCGATTGGACCAGCAGATGGAATGACACCTGACACCCAACAAAATCATAAACGCAGTTGGATGAGAAGCTTGCGGAAGGGAATCAACAAAAAATAGGAGGTTTCCAAATGAACATGAATGAAAATGACATCCTTACAGATTTACCCCATCTTTGAGCTGCTTCAGGTTGGAAAAACCCAATGGCTTTGGGCTCTCAAAGATTCGAAGAGAGCGACTCATATTGTTCAACCTTCGCTTTCTCACAACGATGTGACTGTATGACATGGACTAGACATGCATGGACTAGATCAGTAACATCAGTACATCCATCCTGGAGGTCCTGGATCAAACAAAATATCCTCTGGTAACATGGCTGGACAATCCCATCCTTTACTAACCGATCATTTTCCCATGAAGTTGCGTGAAAAAAACATAAAAAAAAACCATCCATATCATCCATTTACCAACATGTTCCGATGTTTTCCCGACATTTTCCGACTTTTCCCCGACATTTTCCGACGTTTTCCCGACCTTTTCAGACTTTTTCCCAACCTTTTGCCATCATTGAAGATTTCCCACATGTTCCCAGTGTTTTTTTGTCCACAAAATCCCGGCGAAACCGCCTTTGGTCCACGGAAGAGTTCCACATAGACAGTGTAGGTTCCCTCCGGCGGGGCTTCCGGCCAGGTGATGTTCTCGAGAGCCAGCTCACCTCCCAACGATCTACTGGGTGGGGGGTTGGTAATCCTAACTTGACATTATCAATTTGGGATATGTTAAAAAAATAGTTCACTAACCTGAAATGTTCGACCACCAATCTTGCGGATTAGCCTGAAATGTTTGGTGATTTGGAGATGATTCCCCGCAATCTAGCCATGATTCGGTCAGGTTCGGTCACAGTGAGGTCACTGTAATTTACTCAGAGAAATATAGCTATCAACTTTCTGGTGTTTTTTTATAAGGAATGGGGGTTGCTGGGAGGATTATGAACATAGTTATGGATCAGATCATTCCCCCATTCCCGACGTTTAGCACCAGCAAGTCGATACATCAATATGCATGATAAACATATATTATATAACTATGTACATATATATATAATTATTATATAATACAAACATGTATAAACATTGGATATGAGAATTGTGACTCATCGCAATCATAATTCATCACAAGGATTATCTTTAACTTAAGTCCCATCTATGAATATATATATACATATACATATATATATATGTGCACCAAATCAACATGTTTGGTTAGTCACCTTGGAGGCCAGATTTTTCCAGAATTTCATGGAGCACCTTGTCTTCTGCACTGTCATATTCTTCAAACCCCAAAAGTCTATTTTGAAGCCTTCGAAAAATCAGGAAACTCATAATTCTCACAATTATCATAATTCCTTCCACAAAAATAACATTTTTCAGGAACCAGGGTTTAGTAGGGGATTTACACCCACATATTTGGGACCATTAAGGGAGTGTTCAATAGGGCGGACCCTTACCTGCCATCCCATCCAGCCTGCAGCTCCAGTACTATCTATGTCCAACTCAGCTCCACATTGAAGACCTAAGTGACCCCGAATCCTCACCATTTGCTGAACCTCAGGGTTACTCAACTCTATGAAACACGCTTTGAATATCGAACAAAAATGGATTTCCATGGATTTCCTGCATTACTTCGCTCTTTTTGTTATGTTCATTTCATTTTTGGCTGGCTTCGCCCCCATCTGTACACTTGTCCGACTCAGAAGGCCTGTTGGTAAACATCAGTTCCTGATAGTTACTAATCCCCATTATCACTAAGATGTTGCCTCGTGTCGTCACACCATTTCCATCATTATACATGAAAATTCATGGTCACTAATTCCCATGCAATATCAGATATTGATAGTTCCCTTGATGCCTGGGCGCCCACACATTGAGAGTGGCTGTATGACACGGTCTTGCCGCAGGGGTGCTCTATAGACATATCCTCAGCTGTCGGAGCACAAACTTGCAATCCACCAATGACGGTAGCCAAAACAAAGTTAACCCATTCTGACTGCATTTGTCAAAAATTATGTTTTGTGAAATTCATGCTCCTCTACTGTTGTTTGACAGTTTTTTCCCCCCCACATATTTTGAAAAAAGGTGTGATTTGCCGCATTTTTCGAAATTTTCTCATGTGTTCACAGAACATCCTCCCCAAGTATGTGCAAAAACCGAACCTAAAATGTATTAAACAAATCTGAAACTCATCAAACCCATCCAAAAATGGTCCAAAACTCATCAATATCACAAAAACTAGACGACGGATGGCCCGAGAGCGTAGACGAGCAAAGTCTTCTGTTGCTAGTATGGAGACACTAAATTACAAGACAATATATTGAAGATGTTTTATAGGCAGACGAGAAGAGTAGTTTCAAAACAATATATTACAAGTACAAGACAATAGTTTGCATCGTATCTTTCGTAAAGTTGCAGACAGACGCTTTTACACACAGAACTGTTTACAGACAGACGCTTTTATTATACACACAGAGGCTTTTACACACGGACGCTTTTACACACAGAGCTTTTACACACAGACGCTTTTACACACAGAAGCAAATACACACAGAGACTTTTACACACAAACACGTTTACACACAGACGCTTTTACACACAGACACTTTTACACACCAACACTTTTACACACAAATATTTTTACACACAGACGCTTTTACACACAGACGCTTTTACACACAGAGACTTTTACACACAGACGCAAATACACACAGAGACTTTTACACACAAACACGTTTACACACAGACGCTTTTACACACAAACACTTTTACACACAAACACTTTTACACACAGAGACTTTTACACACAGAAGCTTTTACACACAGACGCTTTTACATACAAACCCTTTTCCACACAAACACTTTTAAACACAAACACTTTTACACACAAACACTCTTACACACAGGAGCTTTTACACACAGACGCTTCTACAGACAGAGACTTTTACACACAAACGCTTTTACACACAGACGCTTTTACACAGAGACCCTTTTACATACAGACGATTTTACACACAGTCGCTTTTACACACAGACGCTTTTACACACAAACGCTTTTACACACAAACGCTTTTACACACAGAGACTTTTACACGCAGACGCTTTTACACACAGAAGCTTTTACGACATTCAGAGGACTTTTACACGCAGCGCTTTTACACCACAGACGCTTTTACACGGTTCAGATTAGATGTCTTTTTTACTTATACATTTCAGACGCTTTTACCACACAGACGCTTTTACACACAGATCGCTTTTACACACAGACGCTTTTACACGCATGAAGTCTTTTAACTACAAAACAACTTTTACAACACAGACGCTTTATGCACAGTACAGACGCTTTTACAACACAGACGGCTTTACATTCAGAAGCTTTCTACCATATGTGTGTGCGCTTTTACACACAGAGGCTTTTACACTCAGAAGCTTTTACACGCAGAAGCTTTTTACACACAAACACTTTTACACACAGACGCTTTACACACAGACCCTTTTACACACAGACGCTTTACACACAGACCCTTTTACATACAGACTCTTTTACACACAGACGCTTTTACACACAGATGCTTTTGCACACACAGACTTTTACACACAGGCGCTTTTACACACAGACGCTTTTACACACAGACGCTTTCACACACAGCCGCTTTCACACACAGACACTTTTACACACAGAAGCTTTTACACACAGACGCTTTTACACACAGAAGCTTTTAGACACAGACGCTTTTACACACAAACACTTTTACACACCAACACTTTTACACACAAATATTTTTACACACAGTCGCTTTTACATACAGACACTTTCACACACAGCCGCTTTGACACACAGACACTTTTACACACAGACGCTTTTACACACAGACGCTTTTACACACAGACGCTTTTGCACACAACACTTTCACACACAGAGGCTTTTACACACAGAAGCTTTTACACACAGAGGCTTTTACACACAGAAGCTTTTACACACAGGCGCTTTTACACACAGACGCTTTTACACACAGACGCTTTTACACAGACGCTTTTACACACAGACGCTTTTACACACAACACTTTCACACACAGAGGCTTTTACACACAGAAGCTTTTACACACAGAGGCTTTTATACACAGAAGCTTTTACACACAGAGGCTTTTACACACAGAAGCTTTTACACACAGGCGCTTTTACACACAGACGCTTTTACACACAGACGCTTTTACACACAGATGATTTTACACACAGACGCTTTTACACACAGACCCTTTTGGACACAGACGCTTTTACACACAGACTCCTTTACACACAGACGCTTTTACACACAGACGCTTTTACACACAGAAGCTTTTACACACAGACTCCTTTACACACAGAGGCTTTTACACTCAGAAGCTTTTACACACAGGCGCTTTTACACACAGAAGCTTTTACACACAGAACTTTTTACACACAACACTTTCACACACAGAGGCTTTTACACACAGAAGCTTTTACACACAGGCGCTTTTACACACAAACGCTTTTACATAAGACGCTTTTACACACAGAAGCTTTTACACACAGGCGCTTTTACACACAGACGCTTTTACACACAAACGCTTTTACACACAGACGCTTTTACACACAGAAGCTTTTACACACAAACGCTTTTACACACAAACGCTTTTACACACAGACGCTTTTACACACAGAAGCTTTTACACACAGACTCCTTTACACACAGACGCTTTTACACACAGAAGCTTTTACACACAGTAAAATCGCAATTTTACCTCAGTTTTTAACGTCCAACGTCCATTTCGTGCGTAAGGGTTGCGAATAACAAAGTAAAGTCGCAATTTTTCCCCAGTTTTTGACGTCCAACGTCCATTTCGTGCGTAAGGGTTGCGATTGACAAACTAAAGTCGCAATTTTTCCTCAGTTTTTGACGTCCAAGGTCCATTTCGTGTGTAAGGGTTGCGATTGACAACTCAAAGTCGCAATTTTTCCTCAGTTTTTGACGTCCAACGTCCATTTCGTGCGTAAGGGTTGCGCGGGACACCTCAAAGTTGCAATTTTTCCTCAGTTTTTGACGTCCAACGTCCATTTCGTGCGAAAGGGTTGCGCGGGACACCTCAAAGTCGCAATTTTTCCTCAGTTTTTGACGTCCAACGTCCATTTCGTGCGAAAGGGTCGCGATGGACAAAGTAAAGTCGCAATTTTTCCTCAGTTTTTGACATCCAACGTCCATTTCGTGCGAAAGGGTTGCGCGGGACGCTTCAAAGTCGCAACTTTTCCTCAGTTTTTGACGTCCAACGTCCAAAGGGTTGCAATGGACAAAGTAAAATCGCAATTTTACCTCAGTTTTTGGCGTCCAACGTCCATTTCGTGCGAAAGGGTTGCGTTTCGTGGCGCTCCGGCGGCACCGCCCCCGCCTTAAGAGAGAATAGAAGAAGAGCGAGAGGAGATCTGCAGATGTGAAGGTGTGAAGATGCAGATCTGCAGATGTGAGGGTGTGAAGATCTAGATCTGCAGGTGTGAGGGTGTGAAGATCTAGATCTGCAGATGTGAAGGTGTGAAGATCTAGATCGGCAGATGTGAGGGTGTGAAGATCTAGATCTGCAGATGTGAGGGTGTGAAGATCTAGATCTGCAGATGTGAAGGTGTGAAGATCTAGATCGGCAGATGTGAGGGTGTGAAGATGTAGATCTGCGGATGTGAAGGTGTGAAGATCTAGATCTGAAGGTGTGAGGGTGTGAAGATCTAGATCTGCAGGTGTGAGGGTGAAGATCTAGATCTGCAGATGTGAGGATGTGAAGATCTAGATCTGCAGGTGTGAAGGTGTGAAGATGTAGATCAGCAGATGTGAAGGTGTGAAGATGTAGATCGGCAGATGTGAAGGTGTGAAGATCTAGATCTGCAGGTGTGAAGGTGTGAATATCTAGATCTGCAGATGTGAGGGTGTGAAGATCTAGATCAGCAGATGTGAAGGTGTGAAGATGTAGATCGGCAGATGTGAGAGTGTGAAGATCTAGATCTGCAGGTGTGAAGGTGTGAAGATCTAGTATAACGGCTGCTTTTTTACGAAGAACCCTTCGCAGGCGCTCTCGGGAAAAATCACCCACGGCATTATAATAGGATCCCCCACTTCTAGTCATATCACTAATCATGGTTCTTCTCTCTCGCAAGTATTGTTGGTGGATCTATTATAACTTTAAAAACTGTTGGATGTATGATGGATGACTGGGCTCAAGTGCTGACTTCCAAGGTGCTTCACAGTCGACTTCATCAGGAGACCATCCGACAATTGGCCGGCCTCGCCTGACGGCCTGACGTGAAAAGGGCCAGCGCCACATCTGTGAGTGATGGGCCAATTCCAACAATGCTGAGACATGGGGGTTCTCAAAATGGGGGACCCACAAGTGACTATGGGTTTCGATACTAAGTCATGGTCCAATGACTGGATGATGACTTGGGGTAGACATCTGAAGGGGTAAAACTTGGAACTCAAGTACTGCAGTATTTCTTTGCTTAGTAATCCCATCCCCCTACCAACCCCTAAATGGTCCTAAATATGTGGTTTCGTCCCTTACACCATAGTTTCTGGTGAATGTTGAATATTCGGAAGGGATTTTCACCGTACTGGCGATGTATCCGATAAGCTCAGGATTTTTTTTTGCGGTGACTTCATCGACTTGGCCAGGAAGGATGGGACCTACCAAAGCACCACCTTCGCTGTGGCCATCGGCGGAGGCTTCCGCAGTCGTCGAGATGTGCAGGACGTTTTCGGTCGGGTGCATGCTGGAGTTCACCAAGGGATGTTCAAAAAATGGGGGATGCCATCTGGTTGGTGGGAACATGGATGGATTATGACTTTCCATTCAGTTGGGAATGGAATAATCATCCCAACTGACGAACTCCATCAATATGGATCTTTTGCGGAAACGGATACTGA